ATCTCTGCTTTTGTTGACAAGACTAAATTTGCCCTGCTTATGTGTTAGCTAATTTTTCATATGCTCTTTAAATAGATGTGCATATAAACATATTTGCATGTACTCTCCTTTTTGCTTACAGAAGTGAACTACTAATGAAAACCAAATCATGCTGTGGTGTAAGAAGGAAGAAATTATTTTAATAGTTGCAGCATTCAAAAGTAGCCATGAAGTAGATCAATACATGTAGCTATATAAATACATGCTGCAGAGTGTTCAGCAAGGAGAAAGCAATAAGCTAACAATCTAGATTTTTTTGTTTGTTTGTTTTTGTGAAGAATGTATACTTCTTTCATTGAATTGTTATCATGCTGTGGTGTAAGAAGGAAGAAATTATTTTAATAGTTGCAGCATTCAAAAGTAGCCATGAAGTAGATCAATACATGTAGCTATATAAATACATGCTGCAGAGTGTTCAGCAAGGAGAAAGCAATAAGCTAACAATCTAGATTTTTTTGTTTGTTTTTGTGAAGAATGTATACTTCTTTCACTGAATTGTTCACAGGGAGGAGTGGAAGAAGAGGATATTTAGTGATTTTGTTTGTCATGGTGTTCATTGTCTGTATGTCCATGTATTCAGAAACACAGTGGCCTCAGCTGTAGCTTTCCATAGATGCACTTTGGGACAGCCCAGCATTTGGTGCAACAGCTGAAGCTTATGGCATTTTGCTAGTGCAACAATGCATAAATAATTTGGAATAGTCTGTGTGAGCAGTGCTTGTTTAGTGTAAATTGTGGACTGTTGCTGCCTTATTTTACAAATTGTGAGCTAGCTCCATCACACAGAAAAGAAAAAACATTAACCAAAGAATGAAGTTTTGCAACAACACCTACCAACAAGCTGTGACTTATGCAAACCTTTTTATTAGTACCATTGTGAGATATTTTTAAGAGGACAAAATAGACAATGCTTCTGCATAAGCCACTATTCCTTCTGTACCACTTACCCTGGTTAACTTTTCCTGACCTCTTGTTAAATTATGTCATCTTCCACACATGTTATGTTTTGAGCACGGCTGAATTTGTATGTTGAGAAGATGCCTCAGCTTGAGCTTGCTCTGGAGGCTGGAAGTGTTCCCTCCTGGAAGGATCCTTGTCAGGCTGGAACTCCACACAGGTAGCAGGAACCTGAGACCCAGGCCAAAAGTTTCTTGCCCTGCTGCCATGCTGTGCTGGGATTGCTGACATACATACGTGATTGCTGACATACCCAGTTGGCTGAACTTTGTGCATGCCTTTATTTTTAACTTAGTAGATTTGGTGACAGGCTGCTGCTTGTAAAGTAGCTCCTGTCAAGAGTTATTTTTAGGGAGTTTTTTCTGCCCATGAACATTTAGATCTTGTACAACTCTGGGTTGATGATACTTCTTCTGAAACCTTTTCTTTTGTTTCTGAAACTACCAGTTTAGGACACTAGCCATGTAAAATGTGGGAGTATCTGGTGAGGAGGACAAAGGCTTCTGAAATGTTTGGTGTATTTTAATGGGAAGGACACACAAAACATATGAAGTTGTTTTAACTCGGTTTTGTGACAGCTCCTCAGGCTAAGAAGCCATGTGTACTCAAATGATTAGTCTTTAAACTAGGCTGTGAAAATACCTCCTTTATGCTTTTTTTTTTGCATTTCTGAGGTTGTAAGATGCTTTTGATGGAAATGCACACACATTCACATTGCTTTGAGCAATAAGAAAGATATAATAGCCTTGACTGGCTTCCACAACAGCTGTCAAAAGAATGATGATGAGTTGCTTGTGAACTCAGTACTCAGAGTCAGCCTGTAGGAAAATTGCTTTTAATATGTCTGAGAACATCCCAGCAGTGACTGGACCTGTTGTGTGCAGCGAGTCTGGTCTTCACACAGTTGTTCAGGAGAGTCTGTTGGTTCATAGACGCCTCATCTCGCAACTGTGGTCAAGGCCAAAGATGCACAAACCCAAAATGTTTGGTTAAGGTAAATGGCCTCCAGTGTCAAGGCTCCCTTAACTTCTGTGTCATGCTTGCAGCTACAAAAATAATCCTTTGGTGCTATTCTGTGGGGCAGCATCAAGTGGATGCTTCATCAGTGTGTGCTGGTCATTTTTGAATGCTACACAAGTCATGAACAGCTCTAACGGTCATGCTTCCCTGACTTATATATTAAAAAAATAAAAATTGGTTGTCACACTTGTGTTTGTATATTCTCCATTGGCTGTAGTTGCTCTTATTTGTTTTAATCAGCCTGTGCTTTTAAATGGGTGCAATCTCTAGTTGTGTGAACATGACCTAGCCTCAGATTGAGGATCTGTTGGCATTACTAATCACACCTTTTTTTTCTGGTTGAAAAGCATGGTCCCAGAGAAATTCATGCAGCTTGTTTTCTTTGGTGCAGGCTGCAGTTAGGAAGCCTGCATAGAAACTCAGCCTTTTGTGGTGTTTTGGAGACCATTTATGTTTTCCAGCCTTTTAACGGATCTCTGGCATGAAGAGTGGTTCAGAAGCTGTAGGAAAGATAATTCCTCCCCTCTGTAAGTGGTCTTGATGTACTGGCTGTTTCAACATGACCTGGTTTTGGGATTGAGCTTCCTAGTGGGTGTGCAAGCATAAACAATGAATTCTGAGCTTCCTGGCCCAAATCTGTCTGAAGTGGCTAATTATAAACTGATTCACAGGTGCAATAATGAGCTGTCATTAACCTGATGATTCGTAAAGGTCAGGTTCTTCATGGGGAAGGAGTAACAGGCAGATGGCAAGTAAGGCATTGCCAAAATAAACAAAACAAAAAACCACCAAGAAGGGCCAAAGCCAAACCATCATGTGCTCCTGATGGAGCCCCGTGAGGCTGCTATCCAGAACTGCTTCTTGATGAGATTCTTTGGATTTTTTTCCCCCAAGAAACATGGGGATTGATGACTCTGTGCTGCTTCTGAAAATATATCCTAGCATGTCAAAGGAAGACCCAGCCTGAAGGCTATGATGGTTGGCGGTAGCAGGATCCTTTCTTGGCTCTGTCACTGGAGCGGTTCAGGTGTGACACCTCCCAGTGCCTTCGCATGACTGGAACGGGTTGCGTAACTGGCTCCTGCCTGTGTGAACCTGCTTGTGAATGACTACCTCCTTTCTTCCAAAATGTGTCTTCAGCTTCAATGAAGCACGGTGGCAGTGACAGATTGAGGATGAAAGTGCCCACCTGTATGCTATAATTGTCTGATGTGCTGATAGAGGAAAACAAGACGCTGCTATGTAATAGTTTGTGCAAACTGGATCACGTTAATTGCTGTCTGTCTTTAGAGAGGTAGAGCTGGAAATGGAGGAGATGCAAGGGTGTGGGGGAGAGAGTAACAGGAGGAGGAGGTTTTGGGTGGGGAACCTGTGGTTTGTATAGAAACTGAGGAAAAATAGCACAGAAACCAAAGTTAAAGTTTAGCTAGAAAAAAGAAACTGGTGTAATTTCATGTGGCTTTTGAAAAGAAGAGTTGCTGCAAATATAGAAGCTGTGTGGAAAAGTCCTGAAGAGTTGTGAAAACAACTGGCTTTGAAAGCAGAAACCATTGGATTCAGCTGCTGCACACTGATAGATGTCCAGTCACGATTTTAAATCAGTAAATTATTTCTGAATGTTCCTTTTGGAAATGAATGAGGATGTGGAAAGCTCATTAACTATGGGAAGTGCTTGGAAGGAAGGGAGGTAATTAGTTCTGTAGTTTCTCTATCATACTTGTTCAGACTGCACAAATTCATAATGGCCTTTTCCATGTGTGGACAGTACAGCGAGATCTTCCCCTAATGTACTTTCTAGAGGGACATCAAGAGAGAGGACTATATCTCCATCTGTATTGCTGTAGTCTGCCCAGTACAGTGGGATCTCTCTTCCTGCTCTCCATTTGCTGACCAGGGAACCACTTGGTTCCCTTCCTGAGGAGCAAAAGATGAAGGGAACATTTGAAAGCACCTATATTGTCTGATAAATGAGTGATAATGAAATTGCACGACCAACACATTTTGGTTTCAAGCAGTAATCTTTCAATCATACAACTCCCTGTCAAGTAAAGCTTGCTGCAGCTGGTGTTATGTTGTCAAAGCTGCTGCTTCATTAGAGAAATCTTTCTGTAGGATATCTACATGGATGGCTGAAGACTTTTGGACTGAAGCCTGAGGTGTTCTCAAGACAGGTTGGCAGTTGGAGGCTGTGGATAGTGCAGATGTAATTTGAAGCCTTGTGCATGTGCAGAATGGCAAAAGCATTTGCGTTTTCCAAAATCTGTTCACTTTTAATGGATGAGGATATTATTCTTAACTCGTTTTGAAAGATGAGACCAATGATGCCTGCTACTTGCCATATATTTATAGAACGTGTTTGTCTCAGTTTTTCAGACCATTATTTAAATTTTGCAAGTCTTTAAAAAGGTATTTTTAAAATTGGTTGGTATCTGTGCATTTCAAGAGCTTACAACATAACGTTTTAAATAATTCTTGACACCCGTTCCTCTCATTGTGAAGAGGAGTGGTGTTTGACACTAGTAATGATGGCAGAATTGAAGGTTCATGCATTAAACTGTGGTTTTGTTCTAGTGTTGTGGTTATCAACTAGCGACACGGAATCCCTTTTAATTTATTACTGTGGGAAAAGTCAGGGCTCTGAAGAGTTTTCCTGGCAGGCATTGCAATGAATATACAACACAAAGGCATCAGTAATGCAACAAATTTGATACTAAATTATTTAGTTGTAAGATGAAATTGAGCTGTCGGTAGCAGGAAATGGCTAAACCATGTGTCTCCTTCCAGTGGATGGTATTTCCCTGGATCCTAAGTGCAATGTGCAATGAGTATTTTGAATCTTGCAAAAGGGCATAAGTTTCGTTTTCTCTTGTCGTGGTTGTATTATCTCAGCTATGGAAACCGTGGAGGTTCTGGTGCTCCCTTTACCTAAAAGGGAAAAAATTCTTTATCTGTAGCATTTCTCATTGTTTCCGTTTCCTTTGTAGGACGGAAGAGGTGCCTGCAGCTCAGCAACCTGCAAAGCCACAGACACAAGCCAACGGAGCAGGTAATCTTGGTCAGATCTCTACTAGCAGTCTGATTCAGTTGGATTTTTTTTTTTACCCCTTTCATTTGATCTTTAGAAGATCAAACCTTGCTGAAAAACTCCTTAAGCAGGCTTCTGAAGAAGCCAAAAGTAAAAGACCATTTGAGCAGCTTCTTACCTCTCCGTACATGATTCTGCATTTGCTTTTTGTAGTTGACTTTGCACACCTGAGCAGGGAATTTATTTTGTTTTGTAAAGCCTTTAGGAATGTAATGAAACCTGTTGCCTGACTTCATCATTCTTGCATGCCTTGCTGATCCTTGACTTACCAGAAAACAGGTGTAATACATAGAAAAAATGTTCTATTTTGTTCTCGACTGCAAAAGTTCTTTTATGCCATTAACTGTATTACTTCTTTCTTTTTTTAAAAGAAAAGACCTTCTGGGGAAGGAATAAGCTTAAGAGTTCCTCATTTTTTGGACACCTCTGCTGTCGTCTACATTTCTCAAGCTGCTGCTTATTATGAATTCAATAATATAGTGATTTCCAAAAGAACTAAGGCAACAGGCAGATTCTCAATCTTTCAGTACACTTAAGGGGTGTGGGGAGGAAAGTTTGATTGAGACAACTTAGGCTTTTAAATCTGCGGATTAAATTTGAAGTTGCTTCTCCTGTACTCCCATAATGTCAATACTTTCTGTTATGTGAACTACAACCTGCCATTTTTGTATGTTTTGTGTTCTCCAAATCTCTTTCTCGGTACTATCTGAAGTATTAGCATGTGGGAAGCTACTTTATATTTTTTTATTTTCAAACGTAAGTGTTGTCTCGGCTGCAAACTGCCACTAAATTCCTTGTTTTTCTAGGTATCGCTGCTATTTTTTATTAAATGGTTTGATTCTAACTTCTGAGCACCAGTAACTTTTTCTCACATGCTTAAAAGCACCATTTTGGCTGTTGTAGTTGACTGATTAATCTTTCACGCTTCTGTTTAATCATATCTTAATTTTATGGACTTCTGTACTAAGTTTGGTCCTGGAATAGTTGTGAGCAGTGTCCTCTTAGTGACATTGCTGTATTGACCTACCTTTCCAAAGAACAGTCAGTCTATTCCTTCTAGACAGTGATTTTCTGAGTTACAGGTAAAGCAAAAGGTGATTGTTTTGTTCTCACCTGTGCTGCCTTAAGGCTTTTACCCTTATATTATTTCCATATACCCATGTATTTATGCTATATTTTTTCACCGAAACTGACATACAGAAAGTGCGCATTGCTTCATTACTTTGCCATATAAGACTTTCCAGGCTTATATATGACTATATGTTCCATATATAGAAAGTGGCATATACAGCATAATTTCTGTAGCCTGGCTTTAGAAAAAAGAAAGTGCATGGTTTTTTTATATATATATGTATGTACGCACACACAAATGTGCACATACACAATCTTTACAGCCTATAAATGGTTGGAAAGTGGTAGTAAAAATGCTTCTTGCAGAATCTTGCTTAAGTTTCCACCTCCCTTTCCTGTCAAATTCGCATGGCTGCAGGGTGGTTCTCCTGCTGTCTGTTCAGGAGTGTTTTGCTTTACACTTGCTTTTCTTGAGGTGACCCATCAGTACAATAGGAGCACTGGGATTAACATCAGTCTTTTGTTTACAGGAGCCTCTTAACCAGCAAATGTTTTTACAGTGCTTGCTAAAAATTCTTGTTTGTTAGGATGTTCAAATAATCTCTGTACTTCTGGTAATAAGATGCGTCCATGTGCCATACTTACAGCAAAGCAGGAGTCACCTTCAGTCTTATTTTGCCAGCTTAGCGCAGGGCTTCTGTGCAATGGTAGAAGTAAATTGCATAGCGAGTTTCCGTGAAGAGTGTTGGTGAAGGGCAGGAAAGCTGTACAAAGTCTGCTTCCCAATGAAGCATGGTGTGCGGGAACAGGGGCAGGCTTTGTATGAAGATTTCTTCTAGTATTATCCTGATGCTTGGTGCTTCTTTTTCGCAGATAAGCGTAGCCACACAGTCTGTTCAAGACTCCAGAAGTGGTTTTGTGACAAATTTGGGGAGTATGTTGAGGACTTCAGATTTCAGCCGGAAGAGAATACAGTGGAAACAGAAGAGCCACTTAGTGCTAGAAGGTAAATCTCTGATGCGATTATGAGAAATTGTTGGCTTCTTTAGAAGTTGCTTTTTTTCTCTCTTTTCTTTTATTTACAACCTTTTACATGGTTTGAGCGAGTGTGTGTGTAACAAGTAATAAAACTGAAGGTACAGAACCATCTCAAAAGGTTTGTGAATGCTTTGGCCAAAACATGAAATTAGAAGTTTATCTGCTGTCTGAGGTAGAATAAGAGTTATATTATTTACCACGCTTCCATTATATGCCCCTTGAAAACTGTGGACAAAGTCTTAATTAGGCTGGAGAGCTTTTACATTTCAGTTTTTGATCTGATGCGAGGTAGGCTGTATTAGTTACTAGAAATACGTTTCATAACAGGCAAGAGTGAAGCTTTATACACAAGCATCTAATTTATAGCTGTGAGCAGTATTTCAGGGACCAAATGTGTACTACTTGCCTATTTAACAAGTTGCTTTTATCCATTATTTTTCAGGTTGACTGAAAATATGAGAAGATTAAGTAAGTACTTAGCAGTGTTTTATTTTCTGGAAGTAAAAATAGTTCTTAGCAACCCTGTTGGAAGGATTGCTGCGTTTTAAAATACAGTGTTTTGAAATAGTTCTGCCAGTTCATGAGCAGAAATTATTCTGAAATACTGAATTAGTGTTTGGAGTGCAAAGTAATTTAGAGGAGCAGTAGTAGAAGCTTGCCTTTAATCTCAAATTACATAGGGTATCTCCTGAACTAAAAATAGAATGTTAATTAAAAGGTGTAAACATGTAATGAATGAGAACAGAGTATTTGTCCAATGGCAAATGTAATAGTGTTCATACACTTATGCCTGAGCAGCAGCTCAGTTCATTTGCTAGTCTATTAGCTTATGCTTTCCAAGAAAGAGGGGTTGGACTATGTGTACCCTGGGAGTGTGTTGCATTTCTTTCTCTTGGATAGCTGATAAATTATTTTGGAAGGTGGAGGATACAAGATGGCAGGTAAAACAAAGTAGTTAAGCCCTCCAAAAGTTCTGTGCAGCCAAGAATTGCTAGCCTGAAAAAAAAAATGGTTTATGTGTGCTCCAAATTGGTGAATTATTTTAGGGGGGAAGGTGAAGTTGAAATAAGGGTCTGTAATCTCCATGTAAGGTCAGTTTTGTTCTCCTTATTCTAATACTGGTATTCATCTAGTTTCATTTGGGAGAATACTTGTGACCTGTTCTCTGTGGTGGATGTGCATTGCCTTCAGAATAGCTTTAAAAAAAGCAGTATTAAGCTTAAGCTTTTAGTGGTTTTTAACTTCCACTAGGCAAGCCACAAAATGTAGATCCCTGTTGCCCAGGGGTACTTGATGACCACCTGGAGCTCCCGAGACCCTTGGTTGCTCTTAAGGCCCCTTTTGTCACCAGCAGTTTCCAGATGTTGACCTTCCCTGCAGGTTCGGTGTAGGATGGTGGAGCAGCACTTGAGTCCATGACCTCCTCCAGTGCCTTGAGGATGCCCTTCCACTTACTTCATCTGCTGCTTTGGTTGTACCACTGATGCTCGGAAATCTAGCCGTAGTTGTTTAATTACTTCCCATAGGGAATGTATCAAGGACAGCTGAATTTCAAGCCAAACAAACTAGGACAGCAAGTCACAGGCTGTCTTGAGGAAAGCTTTCAAAGTTGTGAGCTGTACTGCAAACAAGGGCGGGTACTCCTGGGGCCCCCTGCGCAAGAGGAGTCTTCAGTCTTCTCAGCAGGGAAGGCAAAACCGGTGTCTTCCAGCAGAAAGAGCAAAGGTCTTGCAGCAGCCCTCCTGTTTTCTTGTGTCCCCTAGCTAGTTTGCCCAAGTGGTAAATGCTTAGAGGAATAGAAAAGGGTAAAGGACAAGCGTTTTTTAGGGAGCTGAGGAAGAGCTCCTCTTCCTGTCTCTGGCTGGCTGTGGGCATCTGTGGGTGGGAGCGACGCCTCTCCCAGCACGGGTTTGTCTCCTCTGCAGTGACAGCGAGAGCAGAGCTCTGCAGGGGTGGGAGATGAACATCTTCAGGCAGCGAAGTCCTGTGTCTCTTGGCTTAGGAAGAGTAAGCAGCAAAGTGCTACCAATGGATAGACTCCTGCAGAAATGTAGCCAAGAGCGATCTAGCCTGGTTTTAAGCTAGCTTGGTCAAGCAGCAGCGAGTTGTTCTTCGGTGGCTTGGAGTGCAGTCAGGCTGATTTACCTTGTTTTACGGTGGAATGAGCTGACCTGTGCGGAGGTCTTCGGGGGTTAGTATGAACAAGGCTCAGAACAGACTGCTATCAGCATTCAGGGTACCTTTGTAAAGGATACTGATTTTTTTTTTTTTTTTTTGGTCTATACTGAAGAGTTTAGACATAACCTTTGTCTTGAATAATATTAGTTTTTGAAATGCATTCCTTAACTGATTGTTCAGTTACATCGATGGATTTCGTTTTTCGTTTTTCTTAATTTGGATATGCCTCTTTATCATTACGTCTCGAATTTTCCTATTAATTTTCTAATTTGGTTGTTTGTCATTTACAAGTTATTTAACCACTGCCAGCTAATTCTAACAGTTGTGGTTTTTCTCTGCTTCTGTTTAGAGAGAGGTGCCAAACCTGTTACTAATTTTGTGAAGAATCTTTCTGCCTTATCAGACTGGTATTCTATCTACACTTCTGCTATTGCCTTTATTGTAAGTTATCCTATTCCTCCAGGAGACGTAAGAACTTTTAGAACGTATTATTTACTGAAATTCATTGAAACTGAATATCTGAGTAGGGGTTGTGCTACATTTTAAGTCAAATCAAATAGTGTAATTTCATTTAACACAAAATACCAGTAGTTGGCACTTCAGTTATATTTCAAAGCTGCTTAAATTATGTATTCTGGGTTTATTGTAGCATAGTTTTGTAACTGTTAAAGTAACTTACAACAATCTGGGCATTGTTCTCTCATTTCTTGTTCCTGTCTCCCAGTCCTGTAATTTGACGGTTACTTCAGCCTCTGCAAGATGTCTTGATGTCTAGGGCTGAAATGCTGATAGCGGCTATGTTTGATAAGAAGCTATCGTTCACCATCAGTGCTCTTTGCCATTTGTTAGGATCATACTTACTGATGAGAGACAAAATGCCTTGAGTATCACTTAATGTGCAGACATGGGGCCTGTGAGCTAAATTCGAGCATTTCCATGCTATGTAAGGAGGTGTGCATGCCACAAAGTGACATAACTATTTAGTGAAGTTTAGATTTGTTCTCCTTCTAAATATTAGTTAAATGATTTAAATTGTTTTGGTCATGGTGTATGTGAAATATTTTGATACTGGAGGAAATTATTACTGGTAGCTGCAGCTGAATGAACCTCTTTGGTGAAAATGTCACACAACTTTTCATTAAATGATCCCTCCCTATAAGTTATAGAGCCCTATTTAATGCTGCTTTGCATGGCACAGCTGAAGGAATTTTGAGGAGGAGACTTTCCCCTCCTGGTGCCCTGTGTCTGTCCCTTCTCCTAATCTACTGATTTTTCTCTCACCTCTCCCGACAAACCTATTCTTTCAGATAAAAGCTGAAAGAAGAAACTTCAGCTGAGAAAGCTCTGGGACCTCAGAGCCAGAGTGATGCTTCATTTTTTGGGGTTATCAGTAAAAAACCTAACGTCTCTCGGCAGGGAGGCTGGAGTCTCTGTATTTCCAGAAGCTGGGAAAGGGACAGAATACCTTTTGAAGTACTCTGTGTTTGTACTTGTTAGTTAAATAAAACCTGTTTTCCTGCAATCATTTTAAGCTTGGTAAAAATATGGGGTTTAATTGACCTGAAATAATAGAGCGAGAGTTTATCCTGTTGCCCTGTATAGGGCTAATTGTTATAACTCTTCTACTATATCATTGCTTCAATTGCCCTAGGTGACATTAGACCATATCATGGTCACGTAGCAGATTCACAGACTTTAGGGTTTACTTTTTCTTTTTCCTACCCCTTCCTGTAATTGCAGTGTTGGAAATACTCAATACTCTCTCTCAAGCAGCTGAGAACTATTTAAATGTCATCTCTGGAGATTTGGTTCAATCTTAGTTTCCATTTTAGATTCATGAATGCAGTGCTGTTAGTCATGGTGTGGCTGAAATTTATTAATTTTTGTATTTGAATTGCATGATTCTGAACCTAATAGTACAGTGGGAAAGTGTGTTTCATGCAACTCACTGTACCCCAGTTTATAATCCACATCTCTCTTTTTTCTTTTTTTTGTTTTTTCCTCCTTAATCTGCAGATTTACATGAATGCTGTGTGGCATGGCTGGGCCATTCCTATGTTCTTATTTTTAGCCATTTTGAGGTTGTCCCTAAATTACCTCATAGCCAGGTATTTACTTAAATACTAGATTATTCTTTTGTAACGCTTTGCTTGAAAGATGTTTTATTATTCTTGCATTGAGTTGTAAACTGTTACTTTCTCTGACGTTGTGAGTTAAGTCCAGCAAAGTGAAATTCAAACTCTAATATCCTTAATTTTATTGCTCAGTTTCTATAATTTTTTACTGTTCTAAGGAATTATCCTCATATCCTGTGACTTGGGTCATCATAAATGATGCTGCATGTTCTCAAACAAATCCTTCAGCATGTTAAAATTTAAAAAAAAAAAATCTGCAGCATTCAGAGTAGTTGGAGAACGTCATCTTAAATATTGAAGTCTGCCGCTTTTCCGTGGAGAGAATTTTCACCTAGGCCTAAAATTGTAGTCTTGCCTTTTTCAGTAGCTCTTGGCATACTTTACCCAAAGTATCTTCCATTTGTAAATTCAGTCTCTATTAAAAATTAAGAGGTTTTTTTAAAATGTACATTTTCTGTACTGAGAGGATCTTTTTAAAATGCTATTTCAGGCTGATGGTGTTTTCCCCCTTAAAATGGTGGAGAGGACCTTAATGTGCATATTTTAAGATAATTTTCTGCCTTCTTAATTGATACTTACTGTCTGACTCTGTGCACACAGTTCACTCTTGTTGTAAAACCCACAAGCAGTGATTCTGTGTAGTATCTACCTAGCTAATTTTTTTTTTTTTAAATGTATATACCTTTAAAGCTCTCTGTGGTTGGTCACTTGTGCTTTGGTTATGTTGAGGATTATTTTATTATTTTTAAGCCATAGTGCTTATTGCAGAAAACTACTTTTTAACCTTTTGCAAATAATCCGTGTTGGCAGGTGGAGAAGAAGTACTTGCTCTCTTTAACTATTTCCATAACTTCTAGGGGTTGGAGAATACAGTGGAGCATTGTGCCTGAAGTTTCTGAACCCATGGTAAGTCTTTGATCGGTTTGACCTGTATGCGTACACTAAAGGTTGCACCTTTAAAACATTCCTCTGCATTTATGTGGGTAGTTGTGAAAGGAAGGAAGAACGAGGTGCAAATAAAGACACTACAACTTTTTTATTTCTCTTGCAATTTAGAATTCTTCTCTAACAGCACTTTTAGGTTTGGGTGTTGCACCCTAAAACATTCCAAACTTGAATCACGTTTCTGGAATCAGTGTTAATATGCCAGCTTGGGACAAGTTAGACCCTGTGGGATCTTCAAGAAGCCTTGCATTCTGTTTTCTTTGTAACATTTTGAAATTAATGTTTGCATACCCTGCTTTAAGCAGGAAGGATTTTAAATGTTACTGTACAATGGAACTCTTTGAATTTCAAACCTTTCACTAAGACTTAGTGAGGCCTTGCTTCCAGGATAATTTTGTTACTCTTAAAATGCCAATAATCTATTTAAATAAATAAATTAAAATTATCTAGATGTAGAACTTCTAAAAAAAAAAATGACGTTTCTATGCTAGACCAGAAATAGGTCAGTTTAAACATGTGGTCACAGACTGAAAATCATTGTAACCGTGCTGCTCCAAAGACTTACTGTGTCTTTCACAGCCTCCTATTAATATGTTTGCATATACCATGAAGGAAGAGCATAAAGAACTAAAGATAACCAGCAATGAAAGACATAAGCAGTAAATCTGAAACAAGGGAGGAATTTGGTAAATTTAGAGACTGTTTAAAGGGAGAGGACTATTGCCACGAATGTTGAGGGGTTGCCCTGTCATGGGGTGTTTTGTAAAATACCAGTTTTATCTGAGTTGAAAATTAATGGATTGTCTCTTTCTTGCCCAAGGAACCCCCCAAAGAGGACCTGACCGTGTCTGAAAAGTTTCAGCTTGTTCTAGACGTGGCTCAGAAGGCGCAGGTACTGTGCTGCTCTTGGACCTCTCTGGCTGCTTCCTTAGAAACAAGGAGGTTCATAGCCCAAGTGGTCAAAGGGCATTGTTATACAGCATGTGAAAACAAACACTCAAACAAGCAATACTTTTCTTGAATAGGGGTTTTTGCCTACGAGCAATAGAGATCTCAGTAAGATTCCTGGAGCTTCTGAAATGGCACAATGCTTCAGAGAACTGGTTGAGGTTCTCCAGTCACAGCTCTGAGTGAGGTCTGGAGGGGAACAGAAGGAGCTTCTGACAGTTTTTCCCCACATGAGCTTCTGATAATGTAGATCCAGGTGGCAACTCTTACCAATGTAAGTGTGGATCCATATCCCAAATCTGCTAGTCGCAGAGCTGGTGTAGGAGACCCTATGCCTTCAAGATCTAGCTGAAGGCTACTGTCTGTTTAGCTGTGTTAATTCAGCAGTTGTACAGCATCTCTAAAATAGCCTGTTTTAAACACCACCACCACCCCCGCCTCAGCCCTGAAATCTGCTGCTTGTGTGGGAGAGGGTGAAGGAAGGTTTTCTCCCAGCTCCATTGGTTTGATGAGCTACCCTAGCAGCTGAGTGACTCCACCATCCAGTTGAGCTGCAGCCTTGTGCCATATCTAACAATGTGCCATAGCTAAAGTAGCTTACCTTTCTCTTGCCACTCGCGTATGCTCATCTCCTTCCTTCTGGTGGTGGTACATATGTTTGTATGAACACCTTTGGAAATTTATTGGGAAGATGAAATTTACAGGTGCTGTGACAGCAGGGATTGGTCAGAGAAGATAGCTGAATAACCCTCTTAGTCCTGAGCAGGGGTCAGTTTGCATCACCAATTGTTGGAATTACATGGAATCTAGTAACTCCAAGGGTGTGTTATAAAAACCTGATAGTGGTGTGTTTCCAAAGAAGTTAACAGTCCAACAATTGATGAACTCGGTAACCATTTCCTGAAATATCAGTGCTCGAAAAGTGTGAAGAAGCTTCCTGTTTTGTTACCTACTGACAGAAGCTCTTAACTTTTAGATTGACAGCTTAATTTAAAATTTTTGCAGCGATGTAAACACTTTCCAGTCGTGACAGTGGGGTCAAATAGCTTCTTCACTTCTAACAATCAATCAGGAGTTACAGAACAAGGTGTTAAATAAGGTGGAAGTCATTGAGTATTGCTATGCTGTTCTGTATTTACTCAGTTATGAAGTACGTAAACAGCTAAAAATGAGTTATAAAAAGTCACTTCTGAGAGTTGCTTATTATCAACAGAGTAAGATAACTCTGTTGGTTTCTATTATGTGGACAGAACTCCAAAATTATGCAGGACTTGGTTTTAATTCTCTTGCTTCTTATGCAGAACCTTTTTGGCAAGATGGCAGACATACTGGAAAAAATTAAGAAGTAAGTTACCTGACATGAGTCTTTTTTCTTCTTAAAACAAGACTTGACCAATGTCTGGAACACTAGTAATAAAATGTTGTTTCTTTTTTTGTTTTCAGCTTGTTCATGTGGGTCCAGCCAGAAATAACACAGAAGCTCTACATTACTCTATGGGCAGCTTTTATTGCATCCTGCTTTTTGCCCTACAGGATTATTGGGCTTGCAATGGGTAAACACAATAAATAATTGACCTGTTACAGTCTAGACTTAGTGCGTTACAACTTAATGTGATCTTCAGAGGGAGAATTTTAGATCTTAAGAAAGGAAACCCTGCATGAATAAGCAATGCAGTGTTTTAAAGCATTTTCATTGTGCTTGGCATTGTTTGTCATATGCATTTTGAAAAACATTGCTGAATACATAATGTAATAGAAAAAGACTTGGTTAATGCATTCACTTCTTGAAGAGGGGAAGTTTATGTTGAGCTGTTAGCAGAGGTCTTCAAACTGTCAGCTATAAGGCTTCCAGGAAGTGCTATATTTTGGGGTTTTTTTGCTCACACATCCTTGCAAATGAAAAATGTGGGACCAAATGAAAAATGTGGGACCATATAAAAGGCACAAAGATGACAGGGTTGGAAAAAAATGAAAGGGTTAATGGGACTACTTGTAAAACTTGGAGGGTAGGCTGGGCAAAGTGAACAGATTACTGTGGGTGAAGTTGCAGATAATTAAACTCTCAACTGGGAATTGGGAAAAGAGGGTTCTCGCTACAGCATGAGACTGTCTTTTCTCTAAGATATGAAGCCACGTCCTGTGAACCAAGAATTCCCTATTTTTTTTTTTCATTAAAGTAATGATATGATCAAATGAGTTACTTTTAGTGGCACTGAACTTCAAACTGTGTTAGTTTGAACATAAATGTAGGTTTGCTTGACATGACAATTGAATTAGATGCGTGAGGAATTATTTTTTTACTCTGACTCTTAGAAAGAGACCTGAATTGCATTCAGTAAAGTTTTGAGGGATTATTCCAAGCCCTTTTTAATCTGGCAGAATGCAAGGAAATATCTTGTACAAACTGGAAGATAGATTTTAACGTAGTACATGAGAGCCCTCTGTTGCCATTTAAATTCTTGCAAGGAGCTGCACAGTTTAGTGCTCTGGTGTGTTTTCTGTTTTCATGTTTTCAGAATGCTTCTGGTAATAAGGAATGTATGTTTGAATTATTTTAACATTCTTCTGCAAAATAAGAAGCTACCTAAGTGGTTTAAAAGAACTGGGGATGGGGAGGAAGGAATCTGGGCAGGGGAGGAAAAGAAAAATAATTTCCTGCCTTTGGAAGAAGAATCAAAGTATTAAAACCAAGAGAATGGTTTAGCACTATGACTGAAGATACTTACAGAATCTGGTTTCATTCACTAATTTGTTAAAACATGATCAAAACAGTGATGTTCTTAATGACCTTTCAACATGCATACTAGAGTGACCTTTTTTTCAGGACTTTATGCTGGAATCAAGTTTTTCCTTATTGATTTTATCTTCAAACGATGCCCCAGACTAAGAGCTAAGTATGATACTCCTTATATCATCTGGACAAGTCTCCCGACAGATCCTCAGCTGAAAGAAAGGTCTAATGCTACAGTATCAAGGCGGGTAAGGCTAATAAATCTTTTTGTCCCTCTGTTCCCAACATCTGAAAATCAGATCCCTTTCTCCCTTCCCCTTTTCCCCAGTGACTAGAGCACATTAAAGGCGAGGTTAATTAAATCCTAACAGTCAACGTTAGTTCTTTTTTTTTTTATTACTTTCAAGATCCACAGAGTTGGAAATTGTATGAAGCTAAACGCACAAAAATAACACCATCCATATTCATATCAATTTCTGTAACATACATTCAGTGTGATTTTATTGTCAAAATTTAGTCTTTTTGTATTCCCTTTCTCTGTTCTCAGGCATTCTTTCTTAGTGGAAATTCAGCTGCTTGTGTAGATTGAAGAACAGCTAGTTAAAAAAAAAGGCTTGAGTATAATATTCAGCTTACTAGTGGGATAAGCATTAACAGAGGTAATAGAGTAGTTTACAGATTTGGGCATTATGTCTTATGGTTATTTGCATTATATGACCTTTTAGCATAGTGGTGATAAATGACTTTTTCATCACGTTGGTACTCCAACAGTATATTTTTCTTTTGTTAAAATCTCATAGTTAAATCTTTAAGTATTGTGTTTTGTGCGCCTTTGCAAATTGTTTTGTGGCCTCACAAGATAACTTTAAAGCAAGTCATGCTTTTCCATATCCTGAATTTGTCAATGTTTATTAGTTTAAAAAAAAAAGTTGTAATAAGACTTCAGTCTAATCCCATTTTAGCATTTGCTTAATGCCTCTTATCACAATACCTAATTGCATTCATGGAGTATCTGAGTACTGTCAAAAGCTCCCTGACTAAAATGTGCAGCACTTAGTAATAATTCAGCCTGGGTACACAACTGGAGAGCAAAAGGGATAAACATACCAACCCTTGGTTGTTAACCTGTGAAGAAGAAGACGAGAAAGAAATATGGGGTTCTGGGGGAGATGGAGCAGTTGGTGGTAAAATGAGAACTGCAGCATAATCTGAGTATTTCAGAAGGAAGTAGAAGAGAAAGTCTCTGACAGAAAGTGAGTCTTTTGCTCCTGTTTTCCAAGGGATGAGAGAGGTGGATGAGCACTTGGACAGAGCTGCCTGTAGCCTCTATTTCTCTTGCTTGCAGAAGATGGGCTTAAAAGTTTCTGTGTCTCTCGAGCTTACAGGTTATCATTCACATGCTGTGGTAGTTGTGGCAGCTTCTTGGTGGGTCTCTCTAATCTGCCTTAGAGGTGGAAAGGCTCTGAATTGCTCAACTTGAATCCATAAACTTAGAGAGTAATTATCCCTTCTGGCTTTTCCTTTTGGCTTAAGTTTTGACAAGTAGACCAGGGTTTTAGTACTACTGTGTCTGACTTGATGGGCTTTGCTTGTCTCCCTGGAAAGGATGTGCAGGACAGCATTATCTGCTTCCAAATGTCTTTGAAAACATTAACTTGGTCTCAATAATTTTAGACAAACTGTCTTACCCCTTGAGAGATTTCTGGAAACCTTGTAGTATAAAAAATAGATTTTTGTACAAAAAGGTAAAAACCAAATAGGTTTTTCATTTTTTTTGTAGAAAAGACAGAGCCCAAAGGAAAGGTAGTGGCAGCATATGTGCACCTGCTTTGGCTTCTTATCATTAAACAGCGTACAAGACACCATAAACCTAGACACAATGCGATATTCGTTGCCTATACCACCACTCTGACCCCATGTCCTTAGAGAGCAATCCTGATAACGGTATTTGATGGGTGAAAGTTGTATGTCAAAAGCTGATGACAGATCAAGTGAAAAGGAATACCTCCAGGTATTCCTACCTCCAGGTTTTTTTTAGGCAGTCAGGAATCTTCCGGCATTACAAATCCAACCACTTTGAGTCAGATTTAAGGCTTATCAAAATTGGATGCAATGCTTTTCTTTTAGTAATTGACCATAGGTTGTCTCCAGCCTGGGTGACTATGGATAAATTAGCTGCTGCTTTTAAGGGCAGAGGAAACTTTTGCCTGTTTGAGGAAGGACTAGAAGTAAGGGCAGAATGTTCTCACATCTTCAGCCACTGGATGGGATGTTGTACTTAAATCTCTTTATGTAATGGGTAGGTAGGAAGCAGTGTAGCAGAGAGCAGGAATAGTCCTCATTCCAGCGCAAAAAACATTAGACCTCTTGCCCTGACCTTTTGTATGTTTTGGGCCATGGAGCTTCACCTCGTTACATGCATATGGAGCCAAACAACTTGTCCAAGAAAGCGTTCCAAAGATTCGTCTGATATTTACTTGCACACAAATTGCTGGAGAAGCTATTCTTTTCCTTGGTTCCAGGGGCTCGGTCATTGCTAAGGGCACAGCAGAGGGGCAGTGACTGAAGCAAGAGTACAGTTATCATCAACCATTTGCTTTCCATGTCAACTTTCTTTATTCTTTTCCCCCGAGGCATCGTTGTATTACAGTTACCCTAAAAGCTGGATGGTAAATACCCTCTGTCATGCCTGTTTTGTCAGTCTGGTTTCTAGTCAGTGGTTGCGGTGTGCATTTTTTCATTTGCTTTGGATTTCTTTTGTTAGTGCTAAATCCTGCAAAGTGTCAAGTGCTGCCAACTTATGTGCAAAAAAAAGCAGCAGAGGCTGGGTGTCCTCCAACAACATCGGGCCTTTACAGAAGAAAGGCTTAGTCCTGAGCTTGCATGTTGTCAGTTTGCCAGTTGTTTAACTGCATGTGTACAGTAGGACTAAGAACGGAGCTGTTAATGCTTCAATGACAAAAGCCAGCCTTTGGAATCATGTAGTGCCCCACCAACATGAAAAAGCAAATGCAAGCAAGCTTTCCAAAAGAAACTGCCTGCTGTCCTTCCAGAAGCAAGGCTTGTTTGCTAGGGCAGTCTCCAGTGATTCAGGAGCTCTGTTTAAAAGTAGATTTTACTCAAATACTTTGGTTTTGAGAACTCCATGCTACCTTTCCCCCCCGCCCCCCAAGGGTGCTGACAGCCATTCTGATTTCATTCCACATGTCAACCATCTCCAAATTCAGTGCATCTTCAAAGCAAAGGAAAGCTCAATGGCTCTAACGCAACCTGAATGAATTGAACTGGTGTGCTCTAACCACTGATAACTCTTCTTTTTTTAATTGTGTGTAGTCTCTTGGTTTGCGAGCAAGATATTGCAGCTTCACTCAGTTCATGTTTTATTCTATGTATTATAGTGTTAAATAGACTTCACTTTTTTTCTTTTGTCATTGTCACATTTGTGTTGTTTGTTTCTTTTCCTGCTAGCTGTCAGGGCATGAAAAGGTATGGATCGTAGCGTGGAAAACCTTTCAATTTCAGCATATGTGTTCCTAATGAGCTGATGCAGTTTTGTGTGTTTTTTTCTTTGTTTTCTCTTTTTTCTTTCTAAACTTATTTTGTGCAGTAATATTTTGTGCTTGGTCTGTCTCTTGAAGACAAGCCAAATACTGATAATACATTAACTGTTATTAGGCCCACTAGTATAATGGAATTGTGTGCAGTGACTTAGCTCTATCTAATCAGATATACCCTTTAATATAGAAAAATGGTGTTTTAAGAGAGGTACAACTAGCACCATGTGCTTTCACCCCTGCAAAGGCTGTCCATCAAAGGGCAGCACTTTGAAAGGTGGTCTTCAGATAGCACATTAGAGCTTTGTGCTATAGCAATAGTATAGTGCAATAGTCCAAAGTTAACTTTATTGAAGTAGTTAATGAAAATTGTTGCATTACAGACTTTTTTTTAGGAAGAATGGTTAGCCAAGTTATTTTTAAGAGCACAGCTTAAATGTCGCTGTTCGAATTTTGGAATCGTGTTTATTTTTCTGCAGCTTCAAACAGCAGCATCCAGAAGTTACGTGGGCTCAAGTGCCCCAACCGGAATAAGCAAAGATGAAGACACAAGTCGTTTTCATACCACCAAGAGGGGGAATTTCCATGAAGTTTTTAACCTGTCAGAAAATGAGCGTCCTTTGGCAGGTATTATGCAACAGGGAGGCTACATCAGTAGAGTATTTTCTAACAAACCAAGGGTAGTTTAAAGTTGAATTCCCTTTCTGTGCAATGTACTGGTATAAGCTTTTGATTAAAAAGACTTGCTTTAAATTAGGATGAATGCAGACGGTGTCTTTCATTTCACATCCTTACAGTTCTTCGAAAGAGTGCACAGCCTGGTGTGCCTTTTGTGGTAATGCAAATGGAGTAGTCAAGTTAAAGGGAATAATTGTGGGGGTGGTTTTTGTTTTGTTCTGGGTTTTTTTAAGCCAGCATTAAAACAGATGTTATGCTGTTTAAAAATGCCTTATTTAGGCTTTTCTTTGTAAACACTTCTAGTTTTAGGTATCTAATTTTCAGTGTTTTCTGCTGTTTTATAAGGAAACTGTTGGGGGTAGTGCCTGTCTCTTTCTTAAAGTAAGATTTCTTTCTTGTTATGACTTTTTCAGTGTGTGAAAATGGCTGGCGCTGTTGCTTGATTAACAGAGATAGGAAGATGCCTACAGACTACATCAGGAATGGAGTTCTTTATGTCACAGAAAAGTGAGTCATTGCACTCCACACATTTCTTAGGAGGGAAATGCAACAGACATTAAAAAAATTGAATCTGAAAGTAATCTTTCAACAGTGTTTTGAAACAAAAATGCCTTTTCATCATGCTTTGAAACCTCAAGAAAGCACCAAAGGAGAGGGAGAGCTGAATCTGGGGTGTGGTAACGCTTAACAAATGTGGTTTTGCCTTGGAAAGGCTTGCAGAGGAGTGGAGAGTAGCTCCATGTAGTCAGTTGTTAGTAGCTGCAGTTCTTGATGTGGATAACATGCTATCTATATATACACCAAAAAAAAGAAACCTAAAAGCTAAGTGTATTTTGAGAGTTCTGAGCAATGGTTATTTGGCAAATACTCTTAGTTTCTTTTTTTAAAGCAAATTGAATGTACAGCTTCCTTGAAACAATGTGCAACAAAAAGAAAATAGAAATTCAAGCCTTGGTTTCAAAGCTAATACTTGATTTTTATCTTTTTTAATCCTTACTTACCACCCCCCCAGCCTCCCAGGGCTGAATAACTATCATCACTACTGTTTGGATCTTGCACTGAAATTCCTTTGGAGTGTAATGAATGGAAGTAAGGCTCATCTGTATGCAATGTCACCTAGTGATGGAGACCACTCTCCAACGTTTAGAAATCTCAGCTTTTGTCTGCATCACAATAACATGAAACTAACACAGTGTTTTCCATTAATCTTCTTTTAGGATGGTAAAATATTTATAAGCCTTTTGAGATTTAGTATTTCAACTGTTTAAGGATATACGTGCCTCCTGTGTCTTTAAAATGCTTGTCAGGTTTAAGCATTCAGTGCAGTAATATAAATACAAGCTTTTTTTGTGTGTGCATGCTGTATGTTCTGGGCTTTCAGACATGTTATCCAGTTGCTAGAATTTATGAATGTTTGCTCTAAATTAGAAGCCATAACTGAATTCCATATTGTGTGCCTCTTTCTTTTTTTTTTTGAAGCTGATTTTAACCTGTGAGATTTCAAACTTCCGAAGTTACGGGAGGGATATTGAGAGCTTTGTTTTAGAATACTGTATCAAAATGAGCATTTTCTTTCCTTGTCTTCAGTTACTTGTGCTTCGAAAGCTCCAAATCCGGCTCATCTAAAAGAAATAAAGTTATAAAGCTAACGGATATAACAGATATTCAGAAGGTATGTCTGTTTTGTGTTGCAAATAGGGGAGAAAGCTGGTTTTCTGTTCAGCTAGTCATGTTTTGCTTTTCTGCTTATGTTATTTTGAAAAAGCATGCCATTGATAATTTTTACAAGTAAAATGTAATTCTTTGATCAAGAATATTTCCCAGAACTGCTTGTTTAGCCATTTGGACTTACCACAAGTAAGCTCACTATGAGCATTAAAACAAAGTAGTTTACTAAACATTTACACTTCTGAATTATTTTAAAATTAAAGTTGTGTTGTTTCTGAACTCCTGCATTGACTACAGCTGTGTAGGCTTTAAGAAGATCTGTTGCTAGCAGCAACTGTGTAATAGTAACTTCAGTTTGGGTGATGATATTGGTAGATGCACCATCTTGAAAGTAGGTGCCTGAAAGGGAAGAGGGATTATTGTCAGTAGAGAAAAGTAAGTTGTTAGAATAGCCAGACTGAATCAGGCTGGAGTTTCATCTGTTTGGGATCCCACCGCTAACAGAGACAAGAAGTGGATGGTTAGAAGCATGGAAAGTACAACGTGATCCTTCCTCTGGTTGAGATTTATCAGCCTGCAGTCACCAATGGCTTTACTGGTGCCTTGCATCACTCTATATGGTGTTTAATGTCATTTTTCCTTACCCTCTCTGAACTTGTCCTACTCTTAAACGCAGATACCCCTGCTTCTTAGTACATCCTGCGGCCACGAGTGCCACAGATTAAATCATGCTGTGCAAAGAAATACCTTGGTCCGGTGTCTACTGCTTAAGTACCTCCACATTTTCAAATTAATTCCTTCTATTTATATCACATGTCTATAACAGACACATTCCCATTGGAATTAATAATTCATATTGATGGATTTTAAACATCATACTTGAAGTAATGCTGGCTTGTTGTTTAGTAGGCCTTTACTGCCGTAAAGGTCCTTTTGCATCTGTGTAGTTTTTCTCAATGAAGGTGAGACAGGGATCATGCAGCCAAGCATGAAAATGCACTGCACCTGGTCTGATTTGGGGGTGGGAAACACAGGCCAGACTTGGGGTCTCTTGCCCCTTGTGGGTATTCCCCAGTTCAGCCAACTGTATTGCTTCTTAACATTACAGACTTTCTTTAAAAAAAAAAAAAACAACCAAACCCCAACATATGCATATGTTTAATTTTGAAAAAGAAGCTTTTTCTGGTCTGCTTGCTGCTCCTTTAAACAGTGGGTGAATGTTACTTCTAGGGAAACCTCTAGGTGCTTCTCACATCGGTATATACGCGAAGGGCCGGGGCGTACCGCCTGCCCGCACCCTCTAGGTGCTACTCACAGGCGCACTCTCACATCGGTATATACGCGAAGGGCCGGGGCGTACCGCCTGCCCGCACCATCCAGCTGCCGGCGTGGTCCCTGGCGTCGTGGCTGGGCCGGCGCCCATGCACCGTAGCGGTACTGGGTTGCTCACTTTGGGGCTGGGGCTGGTTCCAGCAGGCAGGCTGGGTGCTGTGGCGCATGGGAGGAAGAGGAGAGGCAGGCTCTTGCTGTGCGAGCGATGCTGTGCACATTGACTCTGGGGTCAGAGAACAGCATCTGGCCTCTGGTGTGGAATAGAGGTCTGTTAGCTGTGTCTGGGAGGATACACCAGTGACAAGTGGTATAACCTTCTCGGCACCTTTTGCAGTTGTTCAGTACATAAGATGTCTTTGGTCTGTGTTTTTTTTTCTTTTTAGTATAAAGTGCTCTCTGTTCTCCCGGGATCAGGGATGGGTATTGCTGTATCAACGCCGTCTACACAAAAAGTAAGTAGCTAGTTGCATCTGTATTGCTGTGCTTGACTTCATGCCCTTTTTGTCTTCCTTCTCTGGCTAGCACCAGCATGAAGGCTTCTTTTTCCCCCCTTATGCCAGTGTTTGGCTTTTTTTTTCTTTTAATTCGCTTGTCTATTATTCAGTATATTTGGCTTCAGAATTTTAATGATTTAAACATTTACTTTGTTCTACTGCATCTGGACTGTTTTACTATAACACTTCAGAAAGATTTGCTCCGTTATTTCATGACCTCCATTGAGCGTTCCCTCAGCATCCTTCATCATGAGCATGGGGGCTGCTTTGCTGTGCAGTCTGGAACAAAAAGCTGATGGCTTGAAAGTGTCTGTGGGTGAGGAGGCTTTGGGGTGCAAGGGCCTGACCCTCAGATGCAGTTTTCCTATTTCAGTCTTACAGTGCTGAAGTTTTAAGCTTCTCTAAGCCTCACATACCCTTTGGGCGACTGAAGCTTTCCTTAATATATAACTGAACTTTATTTTAAACTAATCACCTATAAATAACTTCTCTCCAAGTCACATGACTCGTTGTACCAAGCTTTCTGCTCATTGTTTGCTATTGAGAAGTACTTCTTAATTACGAGGTTGAAAATGTTCATCTACCTAGATAAATACTCTATTTGCTGAAATGAAAAGGCACTGATAAAAGTTTTCTAGGTATCTTTAATGCAGGCAGAGGTCAATCAGGAGAACATCATGCACTGAGCGGATAGAGAGGAAAGAGAGTTGAAGTGTTCTCCATTGCTAATGCTCTGTGCAGATGCTTTTTATGCCATGGTTGTTTTAAGAAGATGGAGAAGTGAAAAAATCTTAGAAACTCTGCCATATATCTAAGGATTTAGTAGAGAAAAGGATTTTTATGTCTTTATTGATGCACTTCAAGAACGGTTCATCTCCTGTTCCTATTGATTTGGCCAAAACTATACCTAGAGGAGGGGCTGACATGATCTTTTTTTCTGTCATTTAGCCTTTGGTGTTTGGTGCCATGGTACACAGAGATGAAGCTTTTGAGACAATTTTCAACCAATATGTGAAAATAACCTCTGCATCATCAAGCAGTGAGAGCTAGTATCTTATCTTAGAAGATCTAAAGTAAAGGAAACTTTCTTATTTTACAACTTGGTAGTGAAAAAAATGAACATCCTCATCTATTTTGCAATAATTTTTCTTGTCTGGTGGTTTATATTCTATCTGTTACATAAATCAAGTGTATTTTATATATGCCTTCATGTTTGTTTTTACGGTTTTTGTAAAAAAAAAGCAAAAAACAAAAAACAAAATTAAACAAAACAGTGAAAGTGCTATCATCACTATTAGCCTTGCACATTAAGCACTTTTAATGTTTATTTACTGACATTAAAAGCTGGGAAGATACTTGGAGAACTGACTAAATAACGAAGTGAAACAGATCGATCCCTTAACTCCACTGATATCATTGGGATACATTTGTCCCTTTATCTTAGTTATTTTTCCCCAAGATGTGAGAGCGATGACTGCAGCAGCCTGAAGTCGCTTTCTTCAGCTCAGAGTTTTTAATTGGGTTCCTTATTAAAACTGATATCAATGCCAAGGAAGTATTAGCATCTTAGTATTTCCATATTTATAACCACACTTAAAATAACTCCTCCTTGCTAATTCTTGCATTGCAGAAGGGTATTTTACCGGTTTGGTTAGGTTCAATTTTTCCTGTGTAGATGTTTAAATTGCTTGTACAGTGAATTGGAGGAGGAATTTTCTAACTATATCTTCCTTTCCTAATTAACCAAAGTAAGAGGAAGGAAGGCAGGCAGATACTTTTTATAAAAGAGGGCACCAAAATGTTGTTCCTAAAATGTTAGGCATCGTATATTTGTATTTCTGTAGATACTTGTCATAGAAGGGCTCAACTGTTGTACATGTTGTATGTACAAGGTGTTTGTATGTTAATGCATTAAAGACTTGCAGGCTTTTTGTGTTGGGGCAGATGGGAATAATTAAACTAAACTGAGACATGACTTTTTTTTAATTTGGCTTTTCTCTTGAGTTACCTTGTAATAAAATAACACTATAATACAGCAGCTGAAAGCACTAGTTCCTTTTCAAAGCATACTTTGAGGGGCGTTGGTATGTTGCTGTCTTTCCCCCTGCAAAATTAAATTTTAGTAACAACTAAACCCAACTGCCAGGTAAAGCAGGAAGGCTGTGCTCCTTCTCTAAACTCTCTCAGGCCCTTCTAGCAGCAAAGCACATATTGACCTTTGTCTTTAATATTAGAAAGTTTTTATACTCTACATAATAGCACCCATCTGAGAGGTTTAGAATTTTATTTGCATTTGCATGAAAGCACAGTAGGAGTTATACCAAGCCTTCCAGTGTGTCTTTTCCTTTGCTGTGTCTTTTGAGTTGAGTAGTATGGATGTCTCCAGACATTATATGAATGTCCCCAAAAACAAGCAAAGGAGATGCAAATTCTTATGTAAAAATGGGACTTAATTTCATGGGTTTTTTTTCTCTTTTTTTTAAATGTGAATTTTCTTTCTTTGTGGGGAAAGGGGTAAAACAAAGGAGGGAGAGGGGAGATAAACACCAAAGGGTGTTTAACTCTTAGCACAGTTTTTAATTAAAGTCTCTCAACAAATGCAGTAGTAATGAAGAAGGTGGCAGTCAAACAGTACAAACCTTATTTCAGTCTGGCCGTGAAGAGGCATGATATGAAGAACTTAATGTGAACTTGATATCAAGAAATACTGTTGAATACTGTGATTCGGTTGGGTATTGTAAAGTGAAACACTGACAGGGTAAAACTCTGTGCCCTGGGGTGGAAATGCAAACAAGCATAGGGAGAAGCCACCGTAATGGCTAAAAATGCTATTTTTTGAGTTCTCCCTTTAGAGTAGCACTTCAACATGTCTTTACATGACCTGAAAAAGGAGTGCATTTCTAATATCTCCTTAGGTATGCTGTAACTCAGGACCTGAAAACTTAAAATATAAGTGAAGCTGGTGGGAAATCCATTTTGCCACCGTGTAATATGGATGTAGCTTGACAGTTTATGGTTTCTTCACTTTACACATTCAGGTTTTATGTTTATGTAAAAATCCTTGATCTTAAATTTTTCTCATCAAACCTACTTTAAAATCAATTAATCTCTTTTTGTAATTGCTGTGTATTATCATTTGGCTTTCCTTTCTAGAAGCTTCCTTGAATAGTAAGTGTGGCTAACAAATAGGCATTAAAATCGCTTAATGTTACATAAATCTTAATCAGATTTGTTCATTTTGTCTTAAGAAAAAATCCCTTGGGTGTGTTTAAGGTTATCCTTTTTTTTTTTTTTTTTGATGAAACAGAAAACTATATTTTTTACAGAGGCCATGCTCTTTTTCTTATTTTTCTATCATTTTTCAAGTGTAATTTATACCTTCACGCTGATCATAACAGCAGTTTCAGTAGGAAATCAGTTGACTTGCATTTATTACCTCCTCCCCCTCCCACCCTTCACTGGTGAACCCTAGTATATAGGGTTGTCCTAGATTCTGGTTCCTGGAGGAGCTATAGGTTCTATGCTGATGGTGCCAGGACAATTAGCCATACCTAGGCTTCGGAGAGGGAGAAAAGAAATTGTTATCCTTTTCCCAGACTGAAAGGTTTCATGTGTACAATATGCTTTTAAATTTTTTTCTGGACAAAGAAATTAGAAACTTCTTATAAAATCTAATGTGTTGACGTGTGAAATTAATCCGCACTTTAACAGTGTGAATGTAAAAATTAGCAATTCTTAAAGCAGTAAACCTACTGGAAACTGCAGTGCAACATTGTTTCATTCTAATATATAGAAAACAGACTGGATTTTTTAAAAAAATAGAGTTGTAATATAACCGACAAACATCTATGTACATATTTTGCAAAGTTCACTTTACATTGGGTTGTCCAGGTTCCAGCTCCTGTGGCGTACGTAACATCAGAGAACGCTAGAAGATAACCTCGGTGTGTTTGCTCGCAGGTACTCCTGTGCTTTTCCTCCTACACCCTCACAGGTTTGGAGGGCAGGAGGGGATGGGCAGTGAGTAAATATATACTTGACTTCTATAATTACACTGAAGTTCACCTTAAATTCCAATCTTCCTACGTAGTTTTGCAGAATAACCTGCTGTACTTCAGTAACAGGCTGGGTCGTACCGCTTAATGTAAAGTGCAACTTTCTAATAGCAGAAAGTGATGTTCTTGTCATTCTGTCTGTCTGTTTGCTGTTTATATTTGCAATTCTGTTTTGATGTCTGTGGTTCATTGCTGGATCATTCACGTGTAATTGGATGTAACTTCTTTAGAAGTGCATTGGTTAGTTTGAGTCCCTTTTAAAGAAGAAAAAAAAAAGGGAGATGAAGACTGACTGCTTTAATTCTTTATCGGTGACCATTTAAACTCAAAAGGAAAAAAAAAGCTGAAATATGAAATCATGCCTTTCCATGCACTGTAGCTTTTGTGAGGCAAGATTGAGTGAAACAAGCTATTTATTAGTAGCAACATCACACAGGATGCCAGCAGCAAAACCCTACCCTTGTTCCTGCAGACAAAAGAGAAGAGATTTTACCCAGTCGTGAAGAGATGAAAGGACGTACTTTTTTTGGCTACTTAAACTTGTATTAAAAACACTGGTAGTTTTTATTGAATTCTGTACATTTTGGCAGATGTTTAATTTCTACTAATCATTGAAATATAATGGATGTTAAAATTTTTATGTCTGAAGTTTGAGTCTATATTTTGAAGTTGTAAATAATTCATTATCAGTGTAACTTTTGTTTGACAAAAGACTTATACTGTATGAAGAATTGAAATAATGAAATGATTTGCCCTGTACATTTTTTAAGAAAATCTTGTTTGTTTAAAAAGTCTTGTATAAATTATAATTTTTATTTAAATAAACCTAAAAATGCTTTGTGCTAACACTTCTTGCAAACTTTAATAACTTATCTATCAAAACTACACCTGATTTCAAGAAACGAGGTGAGTTCGTGCTTTTTGGCAGATTCACAGCCACCTCAAGTCCATCACTGGGGGGTGGCGGGTGGGTTTTGTTTCTCACTGCTTTTGAAGCCCAAGGAACATGCTTTTATTTTAAATAATCCTGTTAATATATTAGAGAGCATATGTATATTTTTGGTTAGATCTTTGTCAGTACGTGCGTCACTTCGTAATCCTACGGTTAATTTAAGGGATGAAAAAGCAACCAGTGATTTTTGCAGGAAATGCAGGAGGCCATGGGTGACACGAGACTGTTCTTAGGAGTACAAACTCATATCTGCCAGAGCTCCTTCTCAAAACAAATAGCTGCAGACTGTGCTGCAGGTGAGCAGTGGAGATAAGAATAAGCCCTTCTCCACCCCAGAGGTATGCAGGAGGTGTGCTCAGCAGAAGCGTTTCACATCCAGATCTGGCTGTTCTTCTGCAGCACCTGCAGTCTGTGGAATAATTGCTGGAGGTGACTTAGAAATTGAACTTGCATTCACCTTTTTTAGGAAAGGCACAGCACTGAAGAAGCTTCCAGGGTGGAGTGCGGCTGGCATGCAAGGAATCCATTCCATGGCAGTTCCCTAGGCCTGCAACCTTAGACGTTGGCAACACCAGGGAGCTTGGTGGGTTGGCTCTGAGAGGCGCTGGCCGGGGCGTGGAGCGGTGTGGAGACACCGTGGCCAGGCTCTGTGATGATATGGGAACTCGAAGGTGCCACGGAACCCATAAGCTGCATATTTGCTACCCTGGGCCAACAGTCTGTCGTGTTTTTGACAAAATGCTGTGCTTTGGTAAACTTTGCTCATTCTACTATTGTTATAATACCAAAACACGCCTCCATCTCAAAAGCTACCTGCCTCTAAGGTGCGACCACCCATCACTGAGCTTGCGCTTTGAATTTTTCTAGTTCATACTTCTAAAAGCAAAGCGAGAAAATTTTACACCAATCTGACAAAGGTATGTATGACTAGAGTCACTCAAGCTCCACCTGAAAGGTAAATAATCGTATAAAATAGCTTGAGAGAGAGAGAATGTTAGGGAAGATACCATCATGTACCACTCTGACTTCTGGGAACAGTCAACGGGCTGAGCCTCTCTTCCCCTGCCTTCGGGTAAGATTCGAACACTTGGTTGTACCAAATGCCTCCCCAGGAAACTTAGAAACCTCTATAGAGTCACTTTATATCTTTTCATGCATTTGTAACCAGGCTGTGTTACTCATACTCTTGGTATTTGCACGTGCTTCGCAGACAGTGAATTTATCACCGGTAATCCAAAGGCACCTGTGTGT